TTCTCTTCTGGCAGGCTTGAAGAATTTTAATTAGTTATTGTGGTCTTTTTTCCCTACATTCTAAAACACTTAAATTTGAATGCCCTTTCCTCATTAAACCTTTCAGCCGACCTATGGAAGAGGTGCCAAGACTTACCCATTACACTGACTATATATATATTTTTTTTACATCTGTCTGAAAGTTAAACACTGAAGTCCTACCAGTTTTCAGACAGTTCTAATAAAGCAGGTAAAATAGGAGAGTTTCATTATACATAATGCAACTAGCAGAAAGCCAGCCAGAAAGCAGGTGTTAAGGTTTACTATACCAAGCTCTAAAGCAAAGACCAGAAAGTTACTGGGGGCACTCCTGCTGTTGGATCAATACAAACTCATGCCTCATTAAACAGGTCACTCATAAACAAACAACAAGCTTTGTTAAGTCAGTTATGCTCTGGATCTGAAAGCAATATTCTGCAATAACACTGATGGGGAGGAGGAGAAAAATGTGTATTACATTTCCAAGATGGCTACCTTTACCATTTTCAGCTCTATACAGTAGCTGCTAAACTGCTCATATACTAGACAAATTGAGGATACATAAAACCAATGCACCTTTATAGTGTGCACAACAGTAGAATGGTAGAATTCTGTCCTGCTTTGCTTTCAGAGCAACAGCAACTCTTAGACATGCAATTCCTTGTTTTATTTTGGAAAACCAAAACTTCCTTAAAAATACAAAGTGTCATTATTAAAGTTTAATAAAACTAGGCAGTTAATTTGATTCAGCAAACTAGCTGTTTACTATATCACTGTACACATTAACTGGATCACTAGAGATACATCTCACTGTGCAACTATTTAAGTGGAAGCTTTCATTTAAAATATTTTTAGCATCATGTATTTCTAACAGTAATACCCCTGTATTATGAAGTTCTCAAAGTGCAAAGCATTTGTTTATAATTTCCTCACAAAGATTTTCACATTAGGAAGAGTTATTTTTTCCCCACTTCCACAGCTGTTGGTGGTTGCTGCAGGGATTTTGAATTAGGCTCAGTTTTAATTAGAGAAACTTCTACACATCAAGAACTGCAAAAGGATTTGAATTATCATCAAATAAAGTTTTGTTTAGGGAAAGAATAGAATAAGCTCTGGAAAAAGTGTCCTCAAACCACGTACTTTTTGCTTTTGACGGCACAGGCCATATGTCAATAGTCACCATCTCAGAGACCACTCTATAAAAATCCAATAACGTAACGTATTGCAGTACTGCAGCATGCACATATGCTGTGCCAGGTCTGTTTATATAGTTGTGTATTGCCACAATTTGTCCTCAGGCACGATGAAAACACTCTGCCACAATGCCAGAGAACAAGCTGGAACAAGACCACCTTTCCTTGCTCTTAACTAAAAAGTTATGATGGTCTGCATTCCAGGTTCTAGCCAGAAACCCAATTTATGAGTTAAATGTGGTTTTAAAATTACCATGAGAACAGAAGCTGCCTGGAGACTATACTAAGGGCAGTGGATCCTCAGGAGTCTTTTAAAACCAGGTCATAGCTTAGAGCAACTGGAAAAAAAGGCAAACTTAAAGCACCCTCACACAATTTCGAAAGCCTTCCTTCCCTCCGAGCACATGACTGCCTGGCAGATGGATTGACCACTCCAGCTCCAAGTTACTAGGATATACGCCCTCGTCCAAGTACAACAATAGAGTTCAGCTTCGTAACGCAAGAACAAGCTAAAACCTGCTTATGCGGGCGTTTGCGCTGGACCCCCTCAAAGCTCCACAGAGCGTAACCAGGCCCACCCCCCTCCTTGAGGGGGTACGAACCCGGGGGAAAAGGGACGCCACAGCGCCAGGCCTTTCTTCCCGCACGGGAATCCCCTCAGCATCCAGCTCGGTAACCCCCGCAGGCGCTCACTCCCCCCCTCCCAGGGGCCGGCCCTGCCCGGTCCCGAGCCCAAGGCGGCAGGCACCGCCGGGAGCGCAGCGCCCGCTCCCGCGGCGGCGTCACCCCCGCCCCAACCCCCGGGGCGCGGGAGAGGTAAACTGAGGCACAGCAAGGTCACCGAGCAGGCGCCGAGCGCCGCCGCCCTGCTGGCTCCCGCCCCAGCGGCTACCGGAGGGGTGGGCGGCGGCGCTCCCGCCCACCGCGGCCGAAGAGGCCCCTCCGTACGGACCCACTCCCCTCAGCTGGAGG